TCCAAACAGCTTTGCTGGGCAATGTGGTGCTTCACAAGGGCAACAGTACTATGGGCAAGGCTATGAAGCTCCAAACCAATTTGCTTGGCAAGGGTTTGCTTCCCAAGAGAAACAATATGACGGGCAAGGCTATGAAGCTCCACACCAACAGCACAGTGGACAAGGAGAAGAATGGACTTGGTGGGAGAAAGATCCCTTGGATGATAACCTTTGGTGGAAATGGACTCCAGGAGGCAGCTGGAACAGATGGAAAGGCAAAAGTGCAACAGAGGGTGATGGGAAGGATGTGCACTATGGTGGATTTTGCAAGATGACAGCACTGCTCTACATGTACGACAAGCAGGACATCACCAGGATGAAGAGTGCTATGCACAGGTTGAGTGGCCATCACGCCATTCAGGAACCTTGGAAGAAACTTCACAAGGAAGTCATAAAGTATGGAGATGATGCCTACAAGAGGTGGCTGTGCCTCTAAAACTGCCTGCTGACTTTGAAATGAAAAGGAATGCATTAGCTTTTCTTAGCCTGTGCAGGCTGAAACAAAACCAAAACAATTAAGCCACTACAGGCTCAAAAGAAACAGTCTAACCTCTGCAGGTTGTAAGCTTATACAGCCTAGGGTTTGCTTGAAAGCATGATCGCACAGGCTCAATCGGTGTAGTTTGTTATCATTTCATTATATGTGGTTTAAGACTTAAAATCATAGCTTTTGGATTTCAATTCAGAATTCTGAATTGAAAGTTAAAGATTTTGGGTTTCAGTTCAGAATTCTGAATTGAAAATCAAAGGTTTTGGATTTCAATGCAGAATTCTGAACTGAAAAAAATTTGAAATTGTAGTGTACAATCTTACACATAGATATTGTATCTAGTAACAAAGAAAACAATTAAGACACCTAAATTTTTACCATCTTACATAGTTCAGCAATGTCATCAGAGCATGTGAATGGCGAGCAGTTGCACATGGAAATTGCAAATCCATACATCATTGGCGACACAATTCTGGATGGAGATGAAGATGCTCAAGTCATTGTGCTTGAGTATGGTGCACCAACCAGATGGGCATTGCAGTTCAAGAAATGGAGAAACTATTTTCAGATACCAAATGATGACATTGACAATGTGGACAACACTGCGTTGGAAGCTTCAAGTCCCAGTGGCAGCTCATCAGCC